GAGGAGATTACACAGGCACTAGCTTGTTTGGAGTTAACCATTCAAATGTTTGGTGTTGTGTGGACTATTTATGTAAACACCAAACCGCGCAGAATTCGAGGTTATGAGAACAGGTTGACATTTCGAAATAGGTTCCGTCATTCAACGGTTTCTGTTGAATTTACCGTTTATTATTATTTAGTGACTGGCCCAGGTGTTAATGAAATTTATAAGCCAAAACTACACTGGTATGATTATGCATACACCGTCCTGTCGAAAAACCGAAACTTCGGATCTGAGTTGAGAAAATTGCAAAAATGCATTGCATTTTGGGTCTTCTAATTGCAATTCCCTTAGTAGAATTTCGGATGCTCTTAGTTTGTTTCTACGCATAATCCACTATCTCAATGATCGCTTCAATTTTAAAAGAATAACTTTTTCTATCACATCCGCTACTGCAACCAGGAGCCGCCATTTTAACAAGAGTATGTAGCAACACTATGTCCGGTATGTGTAGTCGATCTTCGGAACTTTTACAGATATTGTTTGGCAGATAGCTGAGCGTGCCATCGACGACGCAAAAGCGACGGGTTTTTGATTCAAAGGTGTTCTTCGTTAGGTGGAATCGCCGACGATTCTCCCGTCCGATCGCCGAAGCTTTATTGCTGTTTCTTTGCTTTACAGCTCAATAAATATTGGTGTAAATAAGTGTTGTATAAAATAACCAAATATTTAATTTTTCAAGTGGCAATATTGGAGGTACTAATTATGTATTGACCTAAAATGAAAGAAGTAAAACCTTGCTCGCTTCACAAGGTATTTGGATTGCCCCGCATCTCTTCCATTCGCTTTGTTGTTCAAGTCTTCGTAATTTATCTACCATTTCAATACACTCAAGGTCGACCAAATGCCATTTCCGTACTGAATGCAAACGATTTGCTTTGTAATGAACGCACCGGACGAATTTTCCATGCGGCAGCAGTCAAATCTTACGTAAAAGCACTTTCTTCTAGCAAATCAAATGAAAACCAATGTTAACCCATTGGTAACCATTGCTTTTCATTAATCATATGCGTGTAAAACAAAATAAGAATCAACAATAGCTCTGAAAAGCGATTAATAACAACACATCAGCATAATAGAAAAATAATTTCATGTTTCAATTTCTCAACAGCACGTAAATATCCGGATACGGCTGCCCAGTTACTTTCATTTTTAATGCTAGTGATTATTTACTTATTACGTTCACGTGAATATTAAAATTGAAAAAGCACTTGCAATATTGTAATGGATGTTAAGAAAAAAGCACAAGAATAATTCGAAATGCACAATTTTTATGAATTTTTGGGAAAAATTTCAAAAACCCACTTTTGCTGATGTCTTGCGTATGAACGGGCGGATTGTCAGAATTCTAAAAACCCTAAAAGGCCCGATTAATTTAACATGGATGCATTTTTTTTTGCAAGATCAGCTCGCTTTCATTTTGAAATGCATCAAACTCACGCCAAATGCGCGATTTTTCCTTTTTTTCGAATAAATTAAATTTTGTCAAAGGCTCACTTTTGATGATATCGTGTCAATGAGGGTGCGAATTTTCAAAATTCCAAAAGGACCATAAATCTTCTTAATGTAAAAATTAAATAATCGACATGGTGATAGATGTCTCAGATTTTGCTCTAGCGGGCTTTAAAAACGCAAGTCAGGTTAAATTGGACACTTTTCGAACAAATCAACATTGCAAAGTGTTATCTTTGAATTTGTGAAAAAACCACATTAAAGGCCGTAAAATTTGCGACCATTCCCCATTTTATTTTTTGAGAAATCGAAAAATCTGCGAGTTGGAAGAGGTAAAATTTGCGCGTTTGCGGTCCTAAAATAACAAAAAAATTGTCGGGGCCTCAAAGGTCACTTTTTATGATAAGAATGAAAGTTTTCTTATGACTCTATGACTCTTGCTGATGTCCTGCTTGTTTATGAACCGATTTACAAAATTGAAAAAGCACTGGCCAGTTTATAAAAGCTCTTAAGGCAAAGAAGCACAAAAAGAAACCGAAATGTGGATTTTTTATGAACGAAGCACATTAAAGGCCGTAAAATTTTACAAGCTCTAGGTGAGCTAAAATTTGCGCATTTGTGCCGATTGTCCTCGCAAGATTTTCACATACAGAACTGAAAAATCAACGAGTTTTGAGCTCGAGAGCAAGAGTTGCTCAATTTTCGTATTCAATCTTTTGAATTATTTAAAAATTATTAGCCGGAACAAACAGATCAAGCATATGCCTACTTTTCCTCCTTGCCTTACTAGATTTGTTATTCTTATACTGGCATCTTGTGTGACCTTTCATGTGGCAGCTAATGAGTGACTGTTGTTTTCTTGTCTCTTTTTCCCATATCATCAATTCTTCTGTAAACATTGATAAATCTATGTTTGCTTTGTATTGAAAATACATCCAAACATTACCTCCTATATTTTCATCGTGCGCGATATCTATCTTCCTGGTACAATGGCTTCTAAAATATCATTTTTTGATACCTTTCACGATAGCACCATTGTTTTTGTTTAGCTTTATTCTAGGCTAGGCTTAGAATAGAGTTGTTGCCCAATTTTTTTATTAATTTTATGCTTTCCCTTGAAAGAGAGTAATCCACAGGAAAAGTAGGCGAACGTTAGCAGACACAGATGGAAGATGGAAGATATTTTTGTTAAAATTGGTACTTTGCTTTAAATGCCCTGTCCTCTTAAAACGTTGGCAATCATTAGCGCTATCTGGACTTTGATCTACCTTAACTTGTGCAGTTTGGTTCGAGTAAAGATTTGCAATTATTTTGGATTTTCATGTTGTTTCGTAGTCCTTGAAATCGATATACACAGGAACAGAAACATCCCTGCACCACTGAACCAACACCTGGGTGCTAAACAGGGCCTCCCTCGTGTCTAGCCGTTACAAAAGCCAAACTCAGATTCGCCCATAATGGACTCGCACTTTGTGCACAAAAATCTTAGGAAAGTGGCTCATCAAGTTGATAAGTGGATAGTCGCTACATCTTTTTGCCGCAGACTTTGGAAGGGTTACAAATGTTGACTGAAGCCAGCCGGAAGGAATGACGTCTGATCGGTAGCCCATATTAAAGAGCTCCACTATCACGTTTAGGAACTGTTCGTTCTTTAAGATTTTAATGACTTCCGACCGAGTAAATTCCATCTGGAGCTTTTCTCTTTTTTGACAACTAGGCTGCATATGGGACTTTTTCCTTAATTATACAGGGTGATTCAAAATTGGCGTCATTCGTCTGGAGGTGTTTTAGGAGTACAGAAAAAATAGTAAAAAAAATTTATTGTGATTAAAAACTGAGAAATTTGCAAAAACTATATTAGGCAAACGGCAACAATGTTTTTCAAGTTAATCTGCCTAATTAACATTACGCAAATACTTGTTGCTTGGTAATTAATTAAAACTCCGGTGTCCATGGATAAATAGGGAAAGTGGTATAGGATAGACAAGGATGAACGGTGAGTTCAACAGAAATCGTTGAATGACGGAACCTATTTCGAAACTCGTAACCTCGAATTATTACTTTGTTTACAAATTACAAAACATGCATTTGAGTCTGTAATTTGAAACAAGTGCCTGTATAATCAATGTATCACTCTTCCCGAGCAGCTTCTCGTATTCGATTAATTAACTCCTGTTCAATTTATACCGGTGTTCAGTAATCCATTGGTTTAATGTGATCTAACATACGTGGTAAGAATGTAGCCGGTATTTATTTGGTGCCTGGCAAAGTGTCAGTTTATGTGCTCTGAGTGCCCCTGGAAGGCGCTGATTCGATTATGTCCAATACTTGTTCCTCTGTGCTTGAAACCCGAACATCGATTGTCGTCCACTATCTTCCTGGAACCACTCTCCTTGCCCTTTGTTGGCGTGAGTTCTTTCAGCTTCTGCTATGTTACTGTAGCATTTCCCCGGAACTAATCGCAGATCCGCAAATTCGTGAAAGAAAATTCAAAGCAAGTCACAGTTTGACAAATTATTGTTATTATTGACAAGGGCTATCCACCTGTAACTATCTGTTAATGACATCATTGCCGCTTCATCAAAAAATTGTAGAAAAAAACTTTTTAATATAAAAAAAAATTCGTAATTTGAAGCAAAGATCGTAATTTTTTATTTTGAATGCTTAGGTATTTCAATATGCTTCCAATTAAGCATTGAACACTTTAAAAATAATGCTTAATAACAAAGTTGAAATTCGATTTTCAACTGTTAATATCTTCTAGAAGTTATAGAAAAAAAAAATTTCTGTTTTTGAACGTGGAGAAGCCCAGACAATTTAACAAAAAATTAGATTGACTACATTCTTTCAAACGATCGTCGAATCTGCAAAGACGTATCAGTTTTAAATAGAGCCGACACAGGAAACGACAACAGAGTGGTTCGGGTATGTTTTAGCATTGATGGCAAAATCGCAAGAAATAAGTTAATCAAGCATTATAAAGATCCAACAAGTGAAGAACTGGAAGCGAGACAGGAGATAGGACAGGTTTCAGGTACATCAGCTGTGATTTCAACCTCAGAAAGGGTGTGGGGCAACGCAAGTCATTTATGGGACAAGACGAGATTCAAACATTGCTTAGAATTACTTTTCCATTTTTTATTAATAAATTTGTCCTAGAGAGTGGCCAAAATCCAATCAATAACCCCGTACGTGAAAACGTTCAAATTATTATTATTAAAGTAAGCTATTAAACTGATCAGATACCATAAACAATCACTTACAATAGCAAACGTCGGAAGAATGCAAATTACCGGAGCCGAACCCTAGTTGAGCTGAAAGTACTGAACAACAAAAATGATAAATTATACCAATACTTCTACATTCTTTTCGAATGATTCGATGGAGAAATTTTAAGTATACTCATTTGATTTAAATTGATGCCTCTGGGCCTTAAATAATAAAAAAATGGCGGTAAAAGAATGTCGATTTTACCATTTAACGTTTAAAATGAGACTTTGTTGCAGGATGATGAGCCGCCGGAAATCACTTACATAGTGGAAAATACTGGGAAACTTCAAGCAATAACTCCCACCCAACCGATGCCATGCCAGGAGGAATTGGACGTAAAGTTTGCCGAATTAGTGGTAAGTTTGCTCATGTCCATATCAGGACGTTTCAATTTGCTTTTGGAAAACTTTATGCTGCGCCTAAAAATATTTCGAGAATGTTATGGTTCACTATGGTAAGGGGTTAACTGGCGAAAGGAGCGGTTCTTAAAGTGCGCTTTCTCAACAAGCTTTTTTTCTTATTATCTAATCTTTCTAAAGCTTGGTTCTCATTTGTCCGGAAGGCTTCGCGAAAGCGGAGTGCGGAAAGTGCGCGCGCAGCCTGCTACTACCATTACTACGCGCGGAAAAATTAACGCAGTTCACATGTATCCGGATTCCGCCGACAGTGTTGGTATATCTTTCGGGAAGCGAGACACGATACAACTCTTTTTTCTACAGTTTTTGTTGCCAGTAATTTGAGGCGCATGAAATGAACGTTTGAAACCAAAAGTTAAATCTGCTTTTGTCTTCGTACGTTCTAAAAAGAAGGAAACAAATATATTAAAATGAGAGAAAGTCGAATAGACGCCGCTGATCATAACCTTTCACTGGGGCATCACTGGAGATAACTTAGGTATTCACATTCTTCCGGACGCCATGCAACAAATTTAAAAATTTGGAAACTTCTGCCGATGGGTGGAGCTAACGCATGCGGCAAACTTTTGATTGCCCCATGAGAGCCCGGCTTAATTCTAATTCTTATCTTTTCTTCTGATTATCTAATTCCTTAAAAACAGTAGGGTAAACGGATGAAACTTAGTGTAATGTTAGTTCTCATTCGCTTAATAAATCTGATGACAAGCTATTTAGAGAAATCACCTGGAAACGATAACGGGATTTGAAAAACAGTGGCAGTATTTAAGTACACAAGTGCCCGCTTTAATCCAGCGAGATTTTGAGGATTAAGAGATTTTCTGTTGTACGTCCTAAAAAAATTTTATTTTGTTCAAGGAGATTGAAACGGTGAGGTCCAAGCATCATTTCCTCAAAATTTGGCAAAATAAAGTAAACAAAGCCGAGTAAAACAATGTCAGCTTGCATATTGGCAAATAGAGCCAAAGTTCGGCCAAGCGTCCTTTGAGCCCACTTTGCACAAACAGCTATATTTTTATTTCTTCTTCTTACTACGGGATCTACAGTTTATCGCTGGTTCCGAACGACACTAGTTGAAAAGTTTTTCCTGGGCAGAATACTAGTGGTCGTTTGCCATTGCTTTCCACGAGATGGCCTCAGTACAGCTGCGTGAAAAATTCCCATGTCTTGGCCGGGGCGCCAAGCCCGGGATCTCAGGCATGGCAAGCGGATGCGTTGACCACTACACCACTGTGACCACATATTTATGATAAAATAGAAATATATATGCAGGGTTGTTTTTTTTATCTTGAAACACTTAATATAAAATAATATTTCGGAAACGAGTGATGGAAATGTTTCAAATAAGGAGTTAATATCTGGGAGGCGAAAATTAATTCGTGTCAGAAAAACAACCCCTGCTTCGACTTTGTGGTCTAGGCAAGAGCCCACTTGAAGATTTCAAATGGTAACCACAATATTTTATTGGAGATTCGAATGGTGCGTCAAAAAGTGCGAATAATTTATCTATATAATATATGATCTGTTAGGTTGATCGAGTGCTTTAAAAGTACAACTATAGTTGTGGTAGCTCAACCTTACGTTACAGCAGTCGTGCTTCTAAGACAGCTCGCTTTTGCCAAAAAAATCATCAAGCAGGATAATTTTTCGTTTAGGCGGGAACACCAGAAGATTGGCAGTAGACTTCAAAATGTATGTCTTTTGAGACCCCGTACCTATTAACGCTCGCAAGTATCGCAATGCAATCAAGCTTTGCAATTTATGCAGCAGTTCATCAATATACTCTTTTTGATCGACGGTTATGATACTCCTTACACGTCCAGCTTCACCGAGGTCTTTCAAATTAAAATCAGTTGCTAATTCCTGCTTCAAACAATCTGTTTTAGTTATATTGTTAGAGAAAATAAAAAAGTTGTCAACATTTACAACAACAGCAATAATAGTAATTTAACCTCTATCATGCTCACGATTACTCTTAATGAATACACAAGGTTCAAAATTAGACTTTTTATAAATTAAATTAACTAAAAAGCCTTCTACTCTCTTACCAAAACGAGCAGACTGTTTGGGTCATGCATGAGTAACTCAGGTGTTGGCACAGTATGAATCAATCAGTAGTTATCAATTGAGGACCGCTTTTTTGAAACCCGATAACTACATTTTTACCGAAATTGAGTTATACATGGATTCTATATAAAAACTCAATGCCCGACCAGCTGGTAGGGCCAGATTCATTGAAAACACGGTAACTACCAGAGGTACAGCATAGACAAATTTCTGCGGTTCTTCAAAACTCGATAACAACGAGCGCTTTTTTTAAACTCGATAAGTGGTGAACCTGCATTACTTAAATGAATCATTTTGTTAGTACAGTTTCAGCTCTCCTCCAGTATTTTGTGTTTTCTTTTTGAAATATGCATCAAATAACGGGAGAATGTAGTAAAGACGTAAAACTCATGAAAAAGAGAAGAAAATTTCGTATCTCTATGGAAAATAGCATTCAAGTAAGACCAAAGATTACGCGTTATAGAAAAGAGAGGTTAAGTGAAGCAGACATCGCATGTAGGTAATCATTTTGAAGACAAGAGAAAACGTGTTGTTTATAATGCGGGAGAACTAACAAGAAATGGGATACTAGGTAAGTAAACCATTTTCCAATTTGAAGTAGAATGAAAATACATTTAAAGTTTGTTTCGATTGCCAACAAAATCAGCCATTACCAAAAATGTCTGTTGATAAAGTTTTTTACTTCAGGCAAGTTTGGATTTATAACCTAGGCATTGTACATCACCAACAAAAAAAGCAATCAAGAGAAGAAACAAACTTCTACGTTTGGTTAGAGACGCAGTCAGGTAGGGGCTGCATGGAAAAGGTTTCTGGTCTGTTCCATTATCTAAGCAAGCTTGAAAACACATTGTTTGATGACGGCAAGAATGAGTTGATCTTGGAGTTATTTTCAGACTCCTGCTCCTTTTAAAACAAGAACAGCACCATGATGACAGTCCTTATCTATTTTTTGGAAAAGTCTAGAGTTTTTAAGGAAATAAAACATTTTTTCCCATAAGAGGTCATAGTT